TGCTCGTTTGCTGATACGGGGCCTATGCACTCCAATTGAAGATGGTGAAGTTCCTTCCACTTATAATGAAGTAGTAGCAGTTCAAAATTGTAAGTGAAAGAAAGCTATGAAAGATGAGATGCAGTCTCTCCATAAGAATGAAACTTGGGAGGTAGTTCAATTACCAAGAATAAAAAGCAATTGGGTGCAAATGGGTATATGCAAAGAAAGAAAGATTTTCAAATTTGAAAGACATCCGATACAAAGCAAGGTTGGTGGCGAAAGGCTACACTCAAAGGAAGGAATAGATTTCAATGAGATATTTCTCCAGTTGTAAAACATTCTTCCATTAGAATTTCGTTGGCTGGTTGCTCAGATGAATCTTGAACTAATTCAACTTGATGTGAAAACTGCGTTTCTACTCGGTGATTTGGAAAGGAAATCTATATGATCAGCCAGAAGGATTTAGGATTATTAGGAAGGAAGATGAGGTTTGTAAACTGAAAAGACGCTTTATGGTTTGAAACAATCTCCGAGGCGTGGTACAAGCGATTTGATGGTTTATGATAGGTCAGAAGTACACAAGAAGCAAATTGACAACGTGTGTATTTTCAAAGGCTACAAGGTGATACTCTCATTATCTACTCTTATATGTTGATGATATGTTGATTGCTTCGAAAACGTAGAAGAAATTGAGAAGTTAAAGGCTAACTAAATCAAGAATTTGAGATGAAGGATTTAGGAGAAGCCAAGAAGATTCTCAGTTATGGAGATAATTAGAGACAGAGGAAATGGCAGTTTGTTTGACACAAAAGCAGTTCTACAAAAGCCTTACACAGTTTGGCATAACTGAAAGTAAAAATCTGTAAATACTCCACTGCTCCTCATATAAAGTTAGTGCATCATTATCCAAATACGCATGAAAAAGAGAGTATATGTCAAAAGTTCCGTATTCAAATGCGGTTGGTAGCTTGATGTATTCAATGGTGTGTACTAGGCCCGACATTTCACATGCAGTTGGAATTGTGAGCAGGTATAGCATGATCTTGTAAAGGACATTGGCAAGCTGTGAAGTGAATTTTACAATATATAGGTATTGTAAACATTGGTTTGGTTTTTGAAGATGAAAATCTTAGTTAATTTGTTGTGGCTATGTGATTCTGATTATGCTGGTGATTTGGAAAGCGTTGGTCAACTACTGGATATGTATTTACTCTTGTAGAGCTCCAGTAAGTTGAAAATCTTCTTTGCAGTCTACAGTTGCTTTGTCTACTACAGAGGCAGAATATATGGCATTACAGAGGCTGTAAAAGAAGCTATTTGGTTACAAGGGCTATTGGATGAATTGAAAAGTAGTCAGAAGAAGATCACTATCTATTCTGACAGTCATAGTGCTATTCACTTAGCAAGAATCCATATTCCACTTTCGCACCAACATATAAATGTTCGTGACCACTTGTGTGCAGGAAATCATTACTGAAGGAAGAATCTCATTAGAGAAGATTGGATACTGAGAATCCTGTAGATATTTTAACGAAAGTAGTGACAATGATCAAGTTCAATCAGTTTAAACTTTATCAACACCTGCGAGCTTGATTGTGCCTTTGGCGCATTTGAAGGTGTTGCAAAATTTGACAGAAGAATACAAAACATTGAGGGTTTGCCAATTTGCCAAGGTGGAATTTGTTGAAAAATGCTCATTTAGCAAAATCACATGGGGTAGAAGTGATAATAGAGAAAGGTTAAGGACTTATATGTAATAGGCCAAAAAGTAGTTGTTCTCACATTGCTTAGGAATGAAAAAGTGAGAAATATTGGGACCCAAATCATTGTTATTTGTATCCCAAGTTGTATTTCCTTTACACTCTTGTATAGGATTCTTTCTTAAGGACCTTTAGATTTAAAAGTTTGTTGTATCTTCCCTTGTTTTGGGTATTGTTGTTTGCCCAAAGTTTGTAATATGTGTTGAAGATAGTGAGTTTTCTTTTGCAACGCTCAAGGACGTAGGTTACAATACCGAACCTCGTTAATTCCTAGTATTCTTTATTTTTGGATGAAACATTCAAAGATGAACCTAAGGCTAGTTGTTAATTGGATTCTTCCAGATGAGTTGGATCATCTTATATTACACTTCTTCATAGAAAGAAAAATTGTCCTTTGAAGAAGTTTGTTCTGCTCTATCCAATCATGAAATTCGAAAAAAGATCAGAAGGAGAATAGAGAGAGTAGAGAAGCACTTGTCGTAAGAGGGCGGAGTCAAAATCAGAGTCCTAAGAAGGAGAGAAGAAGAAGATCTCGTTCAAAGGAAAACTCATTAGGGATCAATGTCTTTTGACGTGAGAAAGGCATTGGAAGAAAGATTGTACGAAGTTTCAAAGAAAGAGGGCAAAGGTTTCTGATGCATACGTTGTTGACGTGAAAAGATGAGTCAATTTTCTTCTAGTTAGCCTACCATCCACCTCGGATCAAATGAGTGGATTATGGATCAGATGTACCTATCATATGTGTCCTCCACAAGGAGTGGTTCTTTAATTTTGAAGAATTTGATGGTGGAGTTGTTTATATGGGCAATAATGCTTGTAAAACAATGGATATGTTCAATTCGGTTGAAGAATCATGAGGCTAACAGAACTCTGACAGATGTTCGTATGTACCGAAGTTGAAAAAAAAAACTCCACTATCCTAAACAATATTACAAACTTTTGGACAATACAACAAATACCCAAAACAAAGGGGAGATACAACAAAACTTTTAAACTAAAGGGTCCTTAATAAAATAACTCTATACAGAGAAGTGTAAAGGAAATACAACTTGGGATACAAATAACAATGATTTGGGTCGATCAAAACCTACAACTGGCATAAGGACGCCAAACGAAGTTGGTTTCCCCCCAATTTGAATACCCTGTGGCATGTAGTCCTCACTCAAGATTCCTAACACCATCTCCAAGCCAAAAACTAATCCCAGTTATGACAAGTTTGGCAAAAACTAAGTAGGAACATAAATAATGTGCCACAAAATGACTAAAGTAGCTAATCAAACCCACCCAAAATTGGCAAATCCGAATCAGATTGGTTTACCACTATAAATCCAACATGCAGTTTGATCTGATTTATGAATTGTAAGAAAAATTACAATCAATATATATTTAAGTGATGCAAGCTAATAATGGACTCAGCTTGATACGGCATGTCCCAACACATACTTCTGACTTTTTTTCCAGGGAACAAGAAATACTTTTAGATGGTCAAACAGTAGATAGAGTAATAAGGGAAAAAAGAACATGCAACCGTCTGACTGCCAATGCATCAATTTTCAACAGGTTACTATTTGACTGTTCTCGCTAGTTGCCAATCTCTCTAGAGTTTCTAAATTCCTTGTTTTCTGAAAATGTCAGTTGCTTAACAATAAAAACTTCAAAGCAATGTTGATGTCTCTTGTTTATTGAAATAAAAGCAAGGGGCAGGTTTCAAAGACTCCAATATGATGTGAAGAAGCACATAAAATGCAAGTTGTGACATAAGAGCTTTAGTATATGGAAAGATTAGTAACAACTCATTAGTCACCCTTACTGAAACGTGCATGCCTGCAGAGTTCTTATCACTATCACATTGATCAGAGGGGAAAAATGAAAAAGCAAATAAAATAATAAAGAGGCAAATAAGCAATATCAAAGTCTTCAAAAACAATAAAAGCACTTGAATATATTATTATGCAACTTAAGCTAGAGAAGCTTCACAGGTAAATCATTAATAATGGCTTAGCCCAACAATTTTGCAGTAAGGCTTCAAGTCCTTTTATCTTGATTGGCTCAAGGGTTAACCCAAACCTAACAGGAAGTTTAAGCTAGGCCTGATTTGAGTCTTTTGGTGAATCCCGGCAATCTTGGGCCAATCACTGAAATTTGCCACCTCACAGCCTATACTTGATTACAACCTGGTGCTTAAAGTCTCCAACTAGATACACATATCTGCTGAGAGGACCCAGCATATATCTCACAACCACTTAACGTCAGTCAATTTCCCCAATGATTTAACATACATAAACTTTCCCCAAAAGCTGACAATAAATCATGAAGTCTCCTGTCCTATCTTTTAAGCACTCTTGTGTCTATTACAAAAAGAAAAGAAAAGAAAAGAAAAGAAAACACAGAAACATATGTATCCACAGAAAATGTTATATGAAACTCTTTAAATGTGGGTGATTCAAGTCAGGACTCATCTACAGATTACATAAATCCAAGGGACAATTCACCAGAAATGGCTGAGAACGTAGTATAGTATACTTGTGTCAAGAGAATAAAGAGGTCTCACCAATTGCAAGAGCAATTCAGAAGATCAGATAACCAAAAATAAATAAAAAAATCAGGAACAATAAGGTCCCTAAACAAATTAGGGATAAAAAAGAAAAGCAATAAAACTGTATCACCTCACAGAATAAGCAAGACAACCAACACAATAAATTATGGGGACCCTAGTATTAACAAAATGTAACGCACGGCAATATTTAACCTCTCAAATAAGAATTCTTACAGAACATGATAAACCAATATGTATGCATGCACAGAGTACACTCCATGATCCAAATAGATTCTCAAGCAATTAGTTTAATAAAGCATTGAGACCGATAATAAAACAAGTAAATAAATTAGTTATCAAATAACATGAACAAAAAAGAAGTGAAGAAGACTGTCAAATATGGATAACAATTAGGGCTGGAGGCTCAAGGTCACTGTAGGACAGTAGGAGAAAGAAAGAAGGAAAAAGAGGACAAATAAAGTGTATATGGAAGACTCCACAAAGTCATAATCACACACGCTAAGGGACAGCTACACATGTCCATGCTCACCAGGCAGCTCTAGGTCGTCTTCCTTCTTAAGAAAATGTAATACGAAACAAAAAATATCCCCACAAATTGTCTGATCAAAGTAACAATAATTAATGACAACAGTGGTGCAAAGACAAAATAGAACCCTTCAGCACAAGCAAGTTGTGCTCCTTAGTGAATCAAAAACACCATCTTACCGCTCGCCAAGGTTGCTTTTTGTATGCTGAAAACCTGTCTCAGTTGATATGTAGTGGTGTCGTCACCAAGTGAAGGAGTGATGGGTCAGAGAAGTTTCAAAAAAATGACTGTTAGTCATGGCTATTCATAGGTTACAAGATAGCACATATCTTTCAAAAAACATGAGTCAAACCAAAATGGTTTCAGATTGATATAACAATTATATGATATCAATCAGAATCTACCGGATCATGGAAATACAAAGCACAACCTATAGACAGGGGACTTGTGATTAACAGATGTCCAAATAATACCAGTGTACATAGCAATTACAATGATAAAGAAATGAAGGGGCACATTATACCTCTTATTGTTTTATCCATTGCTTTGTTTCCCAATCCTTCCATGCGCCCATCTTTACCCTTCCCCGTAATTGTATTATGAATTATCACAGTGGGTGGCCATATAATCATATCATCCTGATTTGCTGCTGCTTCATCAGGAGGTAAAAACTGATAGGCTTTAGAGTTATCAGGAGGCTTCGAGTAATTCCATCCCATTAATACACAAAGAGCTTTATACAAGCCCAAATGATCCACACGCAAGTCAGCATTATCTGAGTTGTACGTGTGCATTATCAGGCCATGCATATCGTGGAAATCTTTTGAAGACCTGTAATTTTGCATATCAAGGGCATTGAACAATGATGATTCATTAATTCCTCTCAGAAATCACTATAAGCCCACAAGTCGGAACTCAAAAGACAATAAAGACAATGAATACAATAGTTTGACCGTAAATTCAAGGTACATATAGAATACAAGTAATATGTATGTTATGTTAGCGAAGCCAAAAAATCAAAGTGATCATCAAGCTAGACGAAAGCAATAACTCCACAAGTTGAAGAAATAACTAATTTGACCATTGCATCAAAATAAATAATCTTCTTGAGAAGCATTTAAGCAAGATCATTTGTCTTCTGAAGCACGGAATGGAAGTTCAAAGTGCACTAGAATTAACATAGAACCAGATTTACAAGCAACTTCATCCCAAAAGGACAGGAAAGCTAGTTTGCACTGAAAATGACTGAAGAACAGACATAATGAGACCTATAATGAGTTGCCACAACCCAAGAGAACATAATACACTTTAAACAGAATCATGAAGACACTTTCAGAGGCCCGCACTATTGCAGGGCGCACTTCAGCATAGAAATTTTTTTTAAAACACTTTGTCAGAAAATTAGAAAGTGCTACTGACATTTAGCAAATGGTATAAAAATACATCTTTAAGAAAGCAATTTGGTTTACCAAGAATAGCGGAATGTGTTAAAAATAAGAAATATGCTTTGTCAAGGATAATAGATTGGTTTCTGCCCCGGTTTTTGCTCCTTTCACAATAAACAGCATAATGATAAATAAGACAAGTGGAAGTTAGTTGAGATGATTAGGTGTTAGTTTCTACACGAGGCTATATTGACTTCAATAGAAAGAGGAGAAGTAACATGTTAACAAAAAATATCCAACTACAAGATATAACCTCCAATGCGAAGTTTGAAAAGCCACTTATACTTGGTGGAAAATCTAAATTAAAAAATATATAAGAAACAGAAAGGCTACAACATAAATACAAGTCAACAACTACAGAAGCACTTGGTATCAAATGACAGTATTACAAAAGATTCCCAGCTTATAGAATTAAATGTTTAACTCAACAAGGACTTAGATTTATTGATAGGTAAATCCTCGTGGGTCTAGTGGACTGCATTCTTGACAGAATCATGGACAATTCATTCCTTTTTGGCCTTATTTATCTTCTTGTCCTTCACCAAGAATAAGTTATATTAGCTTATAGGTACTACTAGTAGACTTCATTACAAACAAACGATACTAGGAGACCTAGAGTTATGTTCAATTCACACTCTAACTTTGATACCATCTAAATAATCATTAGTAATAGTTACACATGGATACACTCTTGCCACCAAATTTCACCATCACATTATTTCTTCTCTTTATCCATCTTTCCTTTATAATGCAACAAAAGTCAAAGAATAGTAGTAATTTCTCTGTCAACCATTTGGGAAACACCATCACAAGTTAAGAATCATAACAAATTAGCTCTATTCAAGGGCAAAAACAACTCAATACAATAATAAGTGTTAAGTCAATTAATGCACAAAACAATAGTCCTACTTTATGAGAAACTTTAAGATTCATACATAGCTTTCCGTAATCAAATATAATCATTACTCTAAATTATCAATAAAAAATAGAAAGAACTAAAGTAGACATATACACTAGTCAAAAGTAAGCAAAAATTGACTTGAAATTCAGACCACATATAAGCTGTTAGGAAACATCACATCTCAGCCCTTGATGAAGTGAAGCAAAGAATTCAAACATCAATTCACGCCCTTGGCCACTAGTTACCAGTATATGAACTAAAAAGAGGCAGATAAAAAAGGAAAACACTCTACTTCAAAGTAACAAATACTCGTAGGGTTTGTCAATTACAGAGCCTATGACACTAGCTATCAGCAACAAAATGCAATTAAAATAAAAACTACTCAGTAAAAACACGATGAAATAGAAAGTCCAGCACACAACTTTCAGATAATTTCACATCAAAATATGTGCTTCCACAGCATCTAAATGCCTAAGAAATGTAATCTCATTAGTAATGCAGAAACAACAGAACAGCTAAATGCACAAATTTCATATAAAATTAGGGCTACAAGAACAGAATCTCAAAGACCATTGAAACAGAGCACCATTATGAAAGCCACCATTCCGAGATGCTTATAGAAAATATGTTAATATAATGCCCTGGTTAACAACACAAAGACCTTAGGGGCCACATGTAAGAATGTTAAGCAAAATATTGCGCAGCAAGCATAAAAGTCAAGAGCTACAGTAATAAAATATCACACAAAAAATTTGCTTTCCTACTAAAGCACCTAACTTAAGAAAATGTCATTATCTCTAGAGAGTCCCCCAATATTTTTATTATGCCTAGGAGACAAAATTCTTAATTAGGGGACTGGAGTTCAGTCTGTCGATTGACAGTTCCATGTGAATCCATCCTAAATCCACAGAATATACAAACAAGAAACTGAGACACAAATAATCCTGGTAGACAATTTACAAGAAATCATAAGGCAAAACATAATCTTTTGGCAAGATTAGAAGGTATACCCCGGTAAACATTTACAAAAAATCATAAAGCAAAGCATAATAGAACTGATTCTTATTGACAGATATCATCAGATCAAGAAGTTCTAAAACACAGAAACTGGAGTAGGCCTTCAAAATAAGTAATAGTTAAAAGACAACATGCAAAGCCACACAAGAATATTCCAAACCAATATGCAAAAAGGCCAAAATCAAGCAAGATAAAGCCATCAACTTATTGAGAAAAAAAAAGAGTGGATAAATCACTGTCTAATGCATGTATCAGGCTTGCAACTGATAACATTGAAGAACAGAAAATTTTTAGAACTGTAGTGATACTCATGCTAAAGACATAAGTCTGCAAAAAATGTGCCAACTAATTAGCTAAAACCTTAGTCAGAAGCATATTTACAAAACTTTTGTTAAAGGTTCACAATGCACTTTTTTCCTTGTGAAGGGCTGTTTTAGAATTCTCTTTTTGTTTTCGGAAGTCCTGGGTATACTGATGTTAGTTTCTTTTTTTCTTTTTCCAGTTTTGCTAGTGGACATACTTGTTATGTTTGTAAGTTTTAATGGTTTCTTATAAAATAAAAAATAGAAGGTCCAAAAAGTACAGTTAACAACAAGATGATCATAAAAGAAATTATAAATGATAGTTTACAAGTTTAATAAGCTAAACAGCTCTACAGCAAGTGTGTTTTTGTCTAGAAACTCCATTTTGTAGTTACGTATCAATGCACATTAACCACAGAATTTTAATGAAATCATCAAAAGTGTAGAATGTGCTCAAACAGTTAAGCCACTATTGACCACATGCATGTTCTCCTACCATATCAGTTCTTACTATCAGTCCTGAATCCTAAAACATAATAAAAGAAAGAATTAAAGGTTCTGAAATCGCAAAAGCACCTACCAACTTATCTTGGCTACAAAATCATAGCCATGTGCAAATTACTGAAAATATGAGCTTCCGAACTAATTTATGTCAACACTGGAACATAGTTCATTCTAAATATCAGCCTACTAGTCATCATGAAAAACAAAATCACTATAGTACAGAGCTTCCCAGGCAAAAAAGCAAAGTGTATGTGTTCTCCTGATAAGAATTGACCGATCAACCAAAAACATGCAAAATGATTGTAAATGACTGGAAAAGAGTAGGAAAAAAAACAATTGACACATTGGTCAATACATAATCCCATTATTATGGGAACAAGCACATCTGTTGACACATAGAGAAAAGCAAATGAAACACTAGACATATATTCTTAAAATTAGATATAAAGTTATCTCATGTAAACAAGATCAAAACATACAACCTACTTATTTAAATTCCAAATGTTTCCTCAAATTCTAAATCACCCCACATTCCCTTCCTTTTTAGGTCCAAAGTGTTCTACAAACAGTTGCTTCTGCAAAATCTAAACAGAATAACCACTAATTAAACTGTCAGCCACATTTACCGTAATTTATCCGCTTTGGAAAAGAAACTATCCAGCTGCAGGAAAAAACTCAAAGAATTCAGTCATAATTGCAATACATGAAGTAAAATAATGATCTTTTTACAAGCATTCAACTCCCTTGGCATTAATTCATTACAGACAAAATCAAGTTTAATACAGGCAGTGACCACCTTAAATTTGATTAACCAAAGCTAAAAACAAATTCATACTGGAAGTTGCACCACACCCATCCGACAAAAATTCCGCAATCAGCTACACTGGTAGAAAGACAATCAACCAATCCAACTTCCAGTTATGAAAAGTTGTAATATGAACATTACCAAAAAGTTAACACACAAGCATGAGACCTTGATTAAAACGTTTAGAAATGAAAAGCACAAGCATTTAATGGATATGTCTTCCAAGAAAGTTTCTACACCATTCATATTTGTCCTTACTATGCAAAATAAAGGTGGTGACAATGCTAAGACAAAAATAAGATCTAAAAACTATATCTTCAAAGTCACCCTACCAAGCACAAGCCTTAAAAATAGCAGCAATAGAGTAAGCAACTAATTCTGTAATCAAAATTTTTAAGAGGAAGAGAGAAGACCATGCTGCCAGCTTGTCTAACCTGCAAGGGAATGTCCTGACAACAACATATAACTTTAAACTCATACACCACCATCTAACTGTTATGCAACAGAAACATAAACTCTAACGCTAGCTATTGAATATAATAATAACAAGTAGTAAAGCAGAAATAAATGGCCAAAATTAAATGCAAAAATAAAGATTGTAATATTGTTGTATTGGGTATTTGTTGTATTGCCCAAAAGTTTGTAATATTGTTTGGAGATAGTAGAGTTTTCTTTTGCAGCGCCCGAGAACGTAGGTTACAATACCGAACCTCGTTAATTCCTAGTATTCTTTATTTTTGCATTTAATTTTGAAGAACTTGATGGTGGAGTTGTTTATATGGGCAATGATGATGCTTGTAAAGCAACTGGGATAGGTTCAATTCGGTTGAAGAATCATGATGGCTCAACTAGAACTC